TTGTTGTTGTTGTTGTTGTTGTTGTTGTTGTTGTTGTTGTTGTTGTTTGTTCCAGACTCTATTGTTGAGCTTATCCCTACCACCTTGTTCTGCATGTTCAAGTCGCCTACTGTCGATCGCCTCCTTCGATCGGACCACCCTTGGACCGGGGCGCCACCGCAGGCGGCCGGTGTCGCAAGGCCAACGTCCCTTCTTAGAAAGGGAAAGCCATGAGATCCATCCAATGACCAATGTAGGAAAACATCGTGTCAAAATGATGGATCTACTAGGTACTTCCCTCAACATCGAGGTTACTTATAGACACCAATTGGAAGGTCCTGGTAGGTATTGTTTTACTTTGAGGATCTTGTTGATGCAAGCCATCTGCTTCTTCGGGACTTCCGCTTGATGGTGCTTCAGGGCACCGAAAAAACGTCACACCGAGACCGGAAAGGATCGTGACCGGAGCGCCAAACACCTTCTTCCCGGTGTCCAAAAGAGGCCACCACCGGTGGCGCCGCCCACATCATCCAAACACAGAGGCACAGGTCCAAGGGTCCCTCGGAAGGGCCGGTAGGCCGAACTACGTATGCTACTAAGCATCTGGTCTCACGTCAATCTCCGCCACCTGACCACTGATTTGCCGCACCACGATCTTCATGGCACCAGCGGCTCAAGTGTCCTTTCCAACTAAATTCTTGTTCTTGCTGTAGCTGTTTCAATTAAGTATAGGGATGGAGACACCGACTTAGCATACCAGCAGGCTCACATCATGTTCTTGATTGTTTTATAAAGATATGACTGGTATGATCACTTGCCACCTCTTGTTTCCATGTGCGCTCCATTTCAATTCATCCAATGTCGAAGTGGAGTCATGCCTTGTGAAGCAACTTGAGCAGATCTGCAGTCGGTCGACTTGGAGGTGTGTCAGGAAGGGTTTAACATGGCACTAATACGACAAGAACTGGGTTCAGGGCTCAGTCAAAAGCATACCACGCACAAAAACAAAACAAATCAGAAAAAACCGTTCATGTATGTTCATGTACCGAATATGAGAAGCAAGCGTCGCATATTTTCATGGCTGAGAAAAAGGCCAAAGACCCTCCCCAAGACTTGTATGCACAGAAATGGAATCTCATCTTCAATCCCTCTGTGGGTGAGCAGTGGCTGTTTGAGCCAAAGCCCTTAACACCAATTGGTTGTCATTGATATTCAGTGCGGGAAAACCACCCTATCACAAAGTTAATCTTAGCTCAGGGCGGTTTCCAAGCCGCTCATCATCACAAGTCCCGACCAGTCAGCTCTGCCAGTCGACGCCCGTCCTCGCAAAGCTCTTGCTGCAGCTTCCCGTCCAAGACATCCTCACTTCGAGAGGGTGCCGAGTGGTGTCAGGTGAGGACGGGCGACATGATTGACAAATGCAGAAGAAACAAGCATGTCTCCTAGTTTGCCACGTGATCTGTCTCCTAGTTTGCTTCGTGTCTTCAACCTAGTTTGTCTCAACAGCTGAAGGTGATCTCCTAGTTTGCCACGTGAACACAGAATGTATGACCAATCTGCTGAATTCAGCACCTGGACCGGAACCCTCCAATGCATATTCTTCAATATTTAAACAATATGTATATATATACATATATAATGACCCTGGGAGTCCAAGACCATTCTTTAAACGGTCTTTGGGTGATCCGAGTTCAGGAACTTCCTTTACTGGGGTGCCGAAAATAGTCGAACTGGACTTCTAGGGGTGATATTAGATATTATGAGTACTTCCACCCCATGTGTCGGAGATCTTCCCTTATAGCTCTTGATCCCGTCATCGCCTGCAAGGAGACTTGGAGATCGGGCGTCGACCCGGCAAGCGCGGGCGCCGTGTGGCTGGAGAGTTGCAGCAAACAAGGCAGGACCTTGGAAGAACAAGGCTGAAGAGTTGCGTCCAATCAATGAGGTATCACGGCTTGAACCCATGGGGGGATCCGGGTATGACTCCGTATGATTGGACGGAGGCTTGGACCCTGAAGGCCACACAGTGACGGCTTGAACCCTGGAGAGTTGCGTGAGCCAAACCGCATCGCGGAGTGATTGGTATGCAGCTTCGTGCTCTTTGTGGGAGTGGGGGGGCAAGATGGTAGCGATACCTCAAAGCCAATCGTTTCTGAAGAGTCTCTTGTAGGGCATGTCTAGGGCCCAGTCATCTTTTCCATCCCTGGCTCAAGCTGGTCCATATGTGAGAGGAACTCCCTGCACATCCTGCAAGCACCAATTCGCACCAGCTCTCCGCCACCATGTAGCCCTTAGACTGGCTCCAATCTTTCAATCTAGCTCAGCGGAGTGAGAAGAAGGTCGACGAGAGGCCAACTCGACGTGCTTGTGGAGCTTGCAAAGGGTCCCTATGAGGCGGCTCGCTTCACCTTCGCACGTGGCACTCGGCCACGGGTATAACACCGCCACCGGTCGAGGTGGTTCCGCGAGGGACACGTCCCAAGAAGTCATGAAGGCAGGGGGGAACAGGTTCCAGCGCCCAAGGCCGAGATGAAGTTGAGACGGAACTGGACCAACTAAACTGGAACTGTGACTAACCATGAGAACCATAGGTCCTGTTGGCAGTGGGAGAATCCCTTAGTGCTCCTCTGGTGGACTGCGACTTGACAGGGCAGTGACCAATTGGGAGGCTTGCCAAACAAGCGCCTACAGGAGAGTTCAGTTACAGTATATGACCTACACAACACGAAACAACAATCTGAAACAATCTTTTGTTACCTGTGCCAGTGCTACGAGATTAAACCAAAAAAGCATAGGGACATGACACGAGCAGTGTTTTGCTCTTAACGGGCGGTTCTTGTGTGCCAACTACAAAAGCCCTAATGGGGCGTACCACCTGCTTGTGTTTTGCCACCCTGTTCTTCGGTCAAACGACCGGTGCAGTCTGTGCTGTGTCCGGGTGGCTGGGCGACAGCACTTGCTTCGTGCCAAGGCGGGACAAGTAGAGCTCCAAGAGCTTCAGCCCGTCTTCCCTGACTTCGCCTCAGCCGCTCTTAGCCGTGACCAGAGGAGGCGCCACGGACGAGTAGAATAAGAGTAGCCTCAGTATAGCTACAGGAACCCAGGAGCATGTACGTGGCGGAAACCGGTTGGCGCCTGCACAAGCAACCAAGAAAGGTTGCTTAACCCAGTGGAAGTTCACCTGCGCGATGTGACATCCATGTTCCTCATGGGTTCTGCTCGTGATTGAAGGTTAGGGACACCTGAAAGATCCTGAAAGACATGTCTTGGCTGTAGTCTAGAAATCCTGCCCCATCTCTCTGTGGGCCTCTGCCGTTCGTCCAGGCACCCGGCACACCCGACCGGAAAAGCATGAGCCCGAAGCGTCGCGCTCCGAAGCTTCGCCCCGGCTTCGCCCGAAAGGCAAGGGAGGTTTCCGCTCCAACGCTGAACACGTCATCGTCTCAGGTGATGCACTCGTGCCCTGGTGCCCTCCTGGTGCCCCTCCTGGGTCACCAAGCCGACCGTCTCACAGTGCCAAGAGGCCACTGACGTGGGACAAGGCTCCGCGCACCTGGCGACCGAGGGGTTTTAGCGCCCATGGCGGCCGCCGTTCTGGCCGTCCGCGGCGGCAGGTTCTGGCCCACGGTGGGGCCAGTCGCAACTACCACCGGGGCCATCAACAACACCAAGTGGTCAAAATCATTGCAGGTCCTGATGCACTCCCTGAAACAAACCATGGAAGCGGAGAATCCCCTGTTGGTCGTGGAAAACGTTGTGTTCCAGGAGGCCAGCCAGAGGCCAGCCAGTCATGAGGCCATTGGAGGGAGGGTGCATCACTTGCCGATGTGCGGTTTAAGTTGCTCCTTTGTTGTTTGGAAGAAGTCCACCGTTGATCATCTTCCAACAAGGTGCCGATCGCGGGGGAACTGATAGGCCTGCTCAAACAAAAACCGCGCAAGGGAGGGGGCGTTTCACGGATCATCGGTGCTACATCTCCCAGGCCCCAGATGTGAGGGGAGCTGTCTGACAGACAAAAACAACAAAAGCAGAACCCCCGCAGAATATGTCCCAGACACGACACATGGGACTGCCATATTTGCCTATACATTGAGGTGGTTGACCTGGGGTCAATGGGGCGGCATATATGCCCTACATGGAGTGTCTGGGTATTGAACCATGGCAGTGAGCAAATGATCAGGTACAACAGCATGTCTAATTGCATGAAATTGCCCCTCCCGCACCATTGTAGGATAGCAAGCCACCCAAAACAGTTGGAGACCTTAATAGACATCTGTTGAACATGGGAGAGCTACCTTGATGTGATTCCTCTTCCAGGTGGTTGGGACACTTAACCCAAACAAAATCTCCGCAGCACGCCCACCTGCAGCGCCAGCTTGGAGCCGAAGGCCGCCAGTGCCTCGCCTGGCATTGCCTCAAACGCCCGCGCATGGCTCAATAGAACCGTATCATTATACCGTATCAGTATCAGGTGTCGACACGAAGAAAACCGGGCGACTGCACCGACACAAAGAAACCACACCCTGCAAGAGGCTCCATGACTTCACATGCACAACTGCGTCGAAGTTGGAGTTGGTTGGGGAGGCCAGCTCAACCTCACGTCGCAGTGATACACTCCTAACTTGCTTGCCTCATCTTGATCTATAATCAAAGCTTGGGAGGTCTGGAGCCTGGAGCCTCCATGGTCTTTTTTTCAGGAGCCACGACCTCCACTCCTGTGAGAAAAACCCTGAAGTACTCCCCTGCAGATTAACATGGACCCAAAAAACCATTGGGGTTACATATGGTTGTAGCGAAAATGGGTCAATACCACGGGGTATCTGTCACTTTTCCATGTTCGTCTGCAGGAAGGCGACGCACCACCCCGGGCGCCAGAAGCTGCCTCTAGCAAAAAGCCTTGAAAGCTCCGGTTCGCTGCTCGCACGTCCGGGCTGCCGTCCGTGGCGCAAAGCGCAATCCTTGGTGGATCAAATCTGCCGAGGGGTGGGAAGGGATGGGAAGGATGCAAAAGGTTCAAAGGTTCTTTCCAAGAAACTTTGCAGTTTTTTATTTGCACTTGAATCACGTACTGATACTGATTCAGATAAATCTATATATAGACAGATTGTTCTCGCATGTTCTTGCCTTTATTATATCAGAAAACAAGATGTGTCGTGTTAATGGATTCGAGGGAGCTGGAACGTATGTTGATCGTGCCCTATAGGTGTTCAATAATTGAACATCAGTTGGATGATAAAGTTCAAATCCAAATCCAATGCCAAAACAAACACACAGGGGGTTTTCTACAATCCGTCAGGAATGCAATAGTCATCTGAAGCAATCCGCAAATATTCGCCACCACCTGAGCTACCATAAGACTTATTTTGTGGTCTTTGCATGTCTTTGCATATGAACACCGGCAAGCTGGAGAAACAAATCGCTGAAATGGCAGCCGTGGGACCAGTGGAAAATTACACGTAATTTGAATTCTCATGCGGCTGGATCTGTAGAACGAACATGAACGAACCACATACCCATCATACAACTCCCCAAGTTTGTGCCTATTTGCGGTAACTATGTCTTTTCAAACAAATCATGATTAAACCATCCAACTGATCTGCGTCCGAAAATCAAACCCTGAGAAATTGAAAAAAAGGAAGCTTCAAGGCTGCGGCTCCGTCAGTGGGGGAGGCTGTGAGGCTTTTGCCAGATAAAAAGGCTCTCGGTGTCTCATCAGCCAAGAACCAAAAACATATCCCCTCTGGGCCTCATGAGAAGCATTCATTGGAGGAGCTACCAATTCATTGATCACGCATAATTCAATGGGACTGACCATGTAGAATCATGAATCACGATTAATCAAACTGATAGAATATTAAACAGTTAACATGTAGAATTAACAAATCTCCCCTCATTTGGATTGCATTAACCTCTGCATATGAAGGGGGTGGAAATATGATCAAGACTACATCATGGCGAGTCCGTTCGCCGTTCATTGATGCGACCGGCCTCCAAGTGCCTGGCCTCCACGTCGGAGGAACAGGTTGAAAACGGCCCTTCCTGACGTCCACGGAGGGGACGTCAGCACAGCTCTCAGGCCAGTGACCTTTGAGAGCCAGTCCACATGACCTGGATTCTTCAGATCCAGAGGTAGCCAGTGACCTGAACTAGGACCGTAAACCTGGGGTACCGAACTGGAGTCTAGTTCAGGTCCTGACAAACCTCTGTTGGATCAACAGTTTCTATAGACGACCTGGAGACCAGTCGGAACCGGCCCCTTTGTCACCAAATGCACCACGAACGGTGGACCGTGCCAAGCTATTTTGCGCGCCCGAGGATCGAGTCCAAGATCTGCGCCAGGTTCACCTTGGGTGCATCCGGAGTCACTGAGCTCCCCGGGGCCCGGGGGGGAGCCAACAAAAAACCTGGAAGAACTAAGAAGATGAGCCATACTTCAAGCTACTTAGTGATAGATGGATTGGGGGCCCATCTATCGCCACAGCTAGCAAGTGGAGGCCAACACATCCCCAGAGATCCCCCCCCGAGTTTACGGTGTTTCCGGGGGTTTCCGGTCTAGATGTTTCCATGTGTCCCATGGTTTTGCTTGTCCCTCGAGTTCTCTCCCTCCCTTCGCTAAAACCCGGGTGAAACCCGGCTGTGAGCCGGAGCCCGGAAGATCCGATCTGCCCGGCTCCCGAGCCAGCGACGGCACCGGAGTGTTCAAACGGAAAAGGTGAACCCAGACACCATGTACAGGTGCTTGATTTCAGGGGTCCATGGGGCGGCAGTCCGGACTGCCAGTCCCAGACAGGTCGTGTCTGGGGAAAGGATGTGAAAGGGAACTCATGGAGGAGTGGGACGACAACATTCCATTATAAGCACCGTGGTTTGAAACACCATGGTTTATATATGATCATCCATCCAGCAGTCACGTCCGACGGGGTGCGTTCCGAACGGAGGAAGTCGGGGTGCCCCCGTCACATCCACTCACTGGATACCACCCGAGCTCTGTGACTCCTGGGTGTTGCACTGACGGAAACCCACCGTTCCGAAGCTTCCAATTTGCGCCAACGGCGCGTTCAAGACGCCCGGATGGTTTCGGCACAGCTCCAGCAGCCCATGCAGAGCGTCACGCCGGACTTTGGGCGAGTGATGCTGCAAATGGGCCATCCTCGGAGAACGGACGCAGGACGCATCCTTTCAACCTACCCGATTCGGGTGTTCAATACAACTTACATCACTTGCCGATGTGCGTTGTTCTCTTTTGCTTGGGAGACGTCCACCATTTATCATCTTCCAACAAGGTGGCGATCCGTGATTGGAGGTAGGCCAAAGGGTGGCACATGGTGGCACGATGTGCCATGGGTAACCTGCTTAAATGTGGAGGCCATCCTGCTGAGGTAGCGCTCCTTCATCCTTCCGTCCCTGTTCCATTGTCAAGGGTCAAATGTGGAACGCGTCCATCCCCTATAGGTTCCTCAACCTACCCCAAGACCCCCCTCAGGGTTCCTCTGCCGGGAGCTGCTGATCCATTGACACACGCCGGAGAGTCCTATAACACTTAAATATCTTAAATTCAAAAGATAGGCGCATACATATATGTGCATACGGTTGATGAGCTGTCACTTGGCCTGTCCATCGTGCACCAGCAGTGGCCAAATACTCTATCTGGATATCTCCCCTGAATAGGATCGGCTGGGGCAGGTTGTTGTCCTAGTGTGACACCTGCGGAACTCCAAGCCGAGTCGCAGATCGGAGAGGCTCAACCTTGGCATTCCATCCCCCTGTGCTTCACACCATCGTGTGGTCACAAAGAGCACGACAACACACTCAAGAGTACAGCAGAATTAATGAGAAACAACGCTCAGTTAAAACGATCCCTGGCTTGCTGGGTGAACAACTTGTTCATGGCTAGCCCATGCAGCATGTTTCCACTGGGTGCCGCTGCAAGTGTAGAAAGACCCCATGAAAACCGTTGGCATGACTTGTCCGCTAAGAGGTGGAATGAGAATGAATGAGAACTCTGATATGAATCATTGATGGACTACAAGCATTGTCGTTCACACGTGTTGGGCACACTCTTGCCATCTGATCAAGCGGTAGCTTTTCTTCCAATGCCAAGAAACTTTCTGTGGGTCACTTCCTCACCTTTCTCTTCCAACGCGTGCTGCGCAGGCATCTGGACCTTCTTGACTTTGTAGTCCGTTTTCATCTCATTGGATTTCTCCTTCTTCTTCTTACCAACCTTGTTCTTCACTTTGGTGAAGTCCTTCGGAGCATTCTTGCCCTTGCTGCTGCTACTCTTTCCTTGGTTGGAGGCACGCGCTTCTCGAACTAAACCTTCGGCGTTGTGGGGCAATGGAAGTGACATAGGTGCTTTCAAGCTTTAAAGAAGGGGGATCTACCAACGACCCTTTGCAGGAGGAAGGGGTGGAGTGAAGGAGTGCAACATGAGGTGGGGGATAGGTCGACGGCAGCTCTCAAGCCAGGGCAAGACCCTCTGAAAGCTAACAAGACCATGGACCCTGAATTCAGAAAGCTCTGCACTTCCTGGATGTTTTCCCCTAAACACTCCGAAAGGTGCTTTTTCTGGTGCGAGCTAGACTGGCAAAACGGCGCTTTGTTGTTCTTCGCCAGCTTTGGCAGCAATAGAGCTCAATTATCCCGCAATCCTTTGTCTATTCGTCTATTATCTTCCCCTCCATCTGGGCAAAAAGGCCGCACAGTGCATGTCCAACACCAAAGCAACGAACATCATCCGTTGGTCCTGGCGAACGTTCGCATTTGGTGGCCCTCTGAAGCACGACTCGTGCTTCGCAGCAACGACCCGCGGGCGCAACGCGCATCCGGCCCAGGTTCCCTTCGAGCTCTTGCTCTTGCTGAGCACCTTGGACTTCCTTGCCATGGCACTGCTGGCTGTCACAGCGCCATGAAGGGGCGGAACTGCCCAACCCGCCGAGATTCGGAAAGTTCCGCGGGACCGCGTGGGCAAGGAGGTGGTTTCGGGGGTGAAGGTCTGGAGGTGTGTTCTTCGTGGCATGTGGATCGGGGGGAACTCTTCAAAAGGTCTTCACAGGCGGGGGGATGGGAGATGCAAGAGTTGCTGAGAACCTTGATCGGGTTGGTTGAGCAGATCTCTCAAGGGCTAACATTGAATGGTCATGGAGGCCACTGTACAGTCAGCTTACATTTAGACGCACGTGGTGCTCAAAGTTTCCTGTAAACGAAGGGCTACAGGAAGAGTTACCCAAAATCAAAAAATCATTGCCCAAATAGCTGCCATATGCTGCCATGCCACGCAAAAATAAACAGTTGCAAACCTCCCCCTTTGATCCTTCTGGTGGCTGTTTCTTTGTGCTATGTTTCGACGTGCCTCTCTTTGACCCAGCTCCCGTGGGAACTGTCTCTACAGCTTAAGCCGGGACGTACGTGATGAACAAGCTGCTAACACTATTGATGTTGCAGCCGCACTTGTTGGAGGAGAAGGGTAATCGAGTTCATCAACTTGCTAATATTGTTGAAACCTTGATAATTTACAATATGTGCTGAAAAGCTGGTCAAGAGAACCACACAAGCAAAGCAACTTCCGACCCCCACCATCCAGGTTGAACCAAGTGCCAGTTAAAAGTTTATGTGACCATTTGCATCCATGTGCACCGACAAGCAAAGTATTGAAGTAACAATTGTTGTGCTCACAGATCGATTGAATCAATGCGGCACACAAATCAAACATGTGCATATAGTATTATATAGTCAATTCTTATCAATTCTTCGTTGCCTTCGGGATTCTTCCAACTTGTATTCACTTCAGGACGCTCTACGCTCTATTCACATATACATGTAATTAATTCCAAGTTCATCCCGGATCCCCAGTTGATACCAACCAGGTGCTTGGTTCATGGGTCTTGTGCAAATCCCCTTGTCCGAAGAGAAAAGAAACCAACCTCACCCAAACACTCCATGTATGGAATAGAAGTATAAAACTATACTGTAATATACATGTATATATATATGTATATGTATGTGAAGTGTGTGTGTGTGTGCTTATATGCCTACATTGACCCTCAAACCACTCAAAGAACAAAAACATCATGTCGGAGTCATATCCATGCCAACATCATGGAGTTGTTTCAGAATACGGCCCCTGTGCGTGGCCAATCACTTGGCTGGTTTTCACTGGGGAGTCAGATCAATGCAAATGCCAGGACCAAATAGATTTCCCTATAAATGGAATATGCACCCTACAAAGGGGGGGACATATTACTTACATGGCCCCATGGCCATATTCCAGGTCTGTGCTTGTCTAGGACTCTGCTTACCAGCCCGCCAAGGCTTCGTTGCGATCATATGAATCATATGTTATGTGATCATGTTCTTGGCTATTGAAGGTGCCTCACCAAAACCCCTCCGATGAGTGTCAAACAACAAATCTTTCTTGGTCATCTGCAGGGCTGGTTGAAGCGACGATTTTGAGCTATCGATCCCCAGGCTGGGCATCGAGTGGAAAACATAGGGTGCTCGCCTCAAAACTCTGCAACCCAACAGTGTTCCCAAAGAAAGAACATGCGTCCAAAGTGACGGCGCAACTCTGGCCATTGTGTAGTAGGTAGGAGGGCATGTGCCCATGCCATTGCAGCTCAACCAAACACCCACCCTCTTTCTATTCGAAGTCAGCCGCACCACCACAGAACCCTTCTTGGCGAGCTCGCCAGCTGGCACCTGCTTCTTGAGCGTGCTCTTCTTGCGCCGCAAGTTGTCAAAGAGCTCCCTCGATCCAGTGAACTCTTCGAAACAGGAGGAATGAAACACCGCCAGTGGCAGGAGGAAAAAAACCGTACCATTTGAGTGGCAGGGGTCTATATCCAGTGTTCTCTTGGCAACAGGCGGAAGGAAACACGGAAGGAAGGGTCGATGTAAGCTGTTCCAGGTTCTGGTAACGTTTGGTGACCAAGGTTTCCCAACCAAGTACTCGATCACTTCTGGATGTGCCAAGGCAGTGAGCCTGAAGTACCAGGATGTAACTGTCTGATCTCTACCCATAGGGTCCAGGTACCTCCTTTTCGGATGGTCAAACGGAGGTGAGTACGTACTTCCAGAGAAGGGTCGAACTGGGGGCCTTTCAGGACCTCTGATTCGGAGGGTCCTGGACTCTTAGGGCTATATGCCTATCTCTACATTTTACGTGTATGCCCTGACATGCAATTGTCCAATCTCTACCTATTCTCTATGTTTCACATGTAACCCAAATGTTTCTGCAAAAATAAACATATCTCCTCCATTCTCTGTCCGTGTTGGATTCTTCCACGACTCCAAGGTGCTGTGCAGGGCTACCCTGGCGCGACTCGTCCAATGCAAAGCGCACTTGCTTCTGGACCTGCCATCGGAGCAAGAGATACACTCGCCAATCGGAAGTGGACGTGAAGTGAATGAGTGAGTTGTTGGCCTGGGCCAGTTGGGTCTTTTGCTCCAAAAAGGCTTCGTCCGAACTTGGGGCCGGAACTTTCCCGACCCACTTCCCGATCCAATGATGTCAGGTGAGGAGCCCATGGGGGCAGAATGTCAGCCATCTCAGATTGCCTGTGCTGGTGACCCGCTGGTGGTGTTACACCCCAAGGCGTGGCGTCCAAAGACCACGTGGCGTCGAAGAACACACCGTTCTTCGAGCGGTCGAGCAGGCTCGAGACCAACGATGCGAATAGAAAAGGGAGAATTAAACTGAAGAGCCCATGGGTGACTGATCTTTTTCAGACAACTGCTCACTTGGATTGGCTGTTCTATAGGAAACTGGAAGCAAATATTCACCAGAAGGTGATTCACTCATAGGGAAAATAGAACATCACCGTAGAAGCAAAACAGGGCTAAGGACCCACCAGTCTCGGTTGGTTGCTCAACGTCGTATCCACGTCAAGACTTTTGGCTCAAGTTCAAAAAATAAAGTGGCTGAATTGTATAGTTTATATCTGGTCAGGGTTTATTGAAAGGGGATTGGGCAATCACCAACAGTTCTTTGCGGGTTTGGTTTTGCTTGTTTTGCCAAGTGCTGATGCTTGCTTCCTCATCCCGTCGACCAACAATATGGATGACTCAGGGACATTTGACAAGCCAAACTCCTCGGCGGACTGGTGGGCTGGCAAATCTTCCACCTCCAAGCGTTTGGATACTTTCATCAT